TTTTAACGCTTCACCCGCCGGAAGCCTATTAACTCCTTATCTCGTGATCTGTTTGGCGAGTGCACTCTGAATACTGACAACTGAGGATATTTTTTCATGTTTTTCGATCAAAAATACTGTTACCGTCGCATACTAACTAGTTGTCGGGAGTAACGTGATTTGATTATTTTTTCTGGGATTGTCAAGCGAAATAAAATTATTGCATTACATTTTGATATACTATAGTGATTGGAGAGCCTGCTAATAGACTTCTGGTAGATAGTATCAATAGTTAGAAAATAACTTATATGTGTACTTGTTAAGTTGTAAAGCTTAAGCGTTCGTGTTTCCCGTTGATTCGCGTGTACTGAATAATATTTGTATTTGCAATTATTTGTCTACAGTTAAAATCAATTTTTATGCTAATATTGTGAATTATATTGTGAACCATATGTGGAATGAAGGAAAGATAAAAGAGTAATCATATTGTTTCTTTAGGTTTTGTTTCATGAAATATATTATTCAATGTACTAGAATTCTTATTGGTACTATTAAGATAGTTAACACTTTAAGCATTAATTTTCACAGAAATCATGTACGTTACTCTAAAATGACTCGCGTTTGCAATTGATATTAAAGTATTTTTAAGAAACTCATGGATTTACCTTTTAAAAGACTGCTAAGCACTGGCAAATAAAATGTTAACATATGAACGTGCGTCAGTTAAATTCTTCTGACGCGAGTTTTTTCATATAATCGAAGTGCGCTGCAGCCAGGTTGCATAAAACTTACGGAAAACATACGTTTTATGCAACGCAGGCAAGTAGTAACACGCGGAAAGTCGTGAAAACAAGCTTCGGAAACTTTTTCATTGCGACCCCGTGCTTGCTGATCGAGGAGCTACGGACAGACGCGAAATTATCCTCGTCAAATTTTAATGTTACCGTTCCTTCAGCTTGGTATCTCGCTATGATGTGACGATGGTGTATCCATAGAACAATAACAAGTTTTTAAGATCTCTGAAGAGGAAAGAAAGCAGGTTTATTACTTTTATTCGGAAACCATAGAACGGTGATTGAAGTAACCTTTATGTCCCGATAAATTTTCAGTTTCTCTGAGTAATAAATGCGATTGAATGCATTCACATTCTTCCCTCAAACATCCTATTGATTTCTTTAGGACACGGATTACCCCAGACTGTCTGAGATTGACACATTCTACTGTCGAAGTAGAGTTTGTCAGCTACGTCTATTTTATTTTATTTGCTTTCTTCCATTCTGTTTATAGGGTACGTCGGGAAAAGATGTATCATCTTTTTAAAGTACTAATACATTATAAATATTACTGATACCCAACAAAAAATGAAATAAATTTATAAAAACAAATACACCTATATTAGAAGGATAGTTAAATAGGTTTTTGTACAAGATACTAATGAGAGAGTAGAACAAGTTGAAAATATTTAACAATTTTTATAAGGTCGAGCTATCCCAACTGCAAAGCCATCTCATCTGGAATTATTTTAATTAAGCATTTTCATTTTTTTCTGTCTTTCCTATAGATTTACAGTATACGTCATAAAATTTAATATGCAGCTTTTATCTGTGTATAAATATATTGTCTTTTAAAATACTTCAAGATTATGTTTATAAATTCATTTAGATTTGCTTTAATTCCCTTTATTCTTTTAGCCTTTATTGAACAGTTGATACCAATGTAACATTTTATTATTTCTATTATAAATTATTTCTTTTTTATTAGGTTATAAATTTTATGCTTCAGCAAACAGTAAAATTATTTTGAGTAATTTATATACTTCAAGTCGCTTCGCAGATTACAGAACTTTAATGTTTGAAATTATTTTATTATACCGTAAGAGCCATAATACGTTGCTTCCTGATCAGATAACTAGATTTCCAAGGCAAGATCTTCATTAAGAAGAAGGGAAGTTATTCCGACGAAAGGGAGATAAAATAGCCCGAACCGGTAATTTTAAATATAGATAAAGAAATATATAGATTAAAATCGTAACAGTAACATTTGTCCATAACCACTTGTATTAAGTTTTAATATAGAACTTTTTATCTTCGTTAATATATAAAAATTCATATTTAATCAAATAACAAACAGTTCTAACGTAACGTATAAGAAATCTCACCGAATTGTTATTAATAGACTACGGATGCTCATGCACTTTCGAAAAGTTCCAAATCTGAAACATAATTCTCTTCCTCTAAGAAAGAAGAAATCAAATAAAAGACGACCCTAAAGAAGTAACCCGAACAGTTCACTCATGCTCTAATATTTTGAAATTTCTAAAAAGAAATCAAAATAGCACATTTAATTTAATCAGTCATCCACAACTAAGAAACACCCGGTCTAATCATACACATAGATAACCCATCTGCATAGCTTGAAGTAGTTTCCAACGATCCAACTGGATTGACGCAACTTAAAATACACAATAAAAAAAAAGGAAAGAAAAAGATTTTTTTCGATCCGGGGATCGCGTGACGAATCGGTGAAAGCGGCGCGACGGTTCGTGAATCATAATACGTATCAATTCCACCCGGCGAAAATGAGAGACACAATCGCGGGAGTCGGCCGGGGTGAGTTGAACGAGCGAAAGAGAGGAGTGTGGCTGTTCGTTCAGTGATTTGCAATTGGTTTATCGCAGTCTCGGAGGACGGAGATTGCGGAGGATGCGGACAGAGAGAATTCGTCGGAGGGAGGTGGAATGATTGAATGTGGCCTAGATGCTCGCTGGCGATCGTCCAAATCACTTCTGGCCTCGGCAGTCGTCTAGCCAAAGTTCGGCCCGCGGACTTCTAAGGGCTATTTGTACTTAAGCGGGCCAGACGACGCGCGAGACGACCGGGAAAACATTTCGCCGGGAGTGCTCTCTCTCGCTTGAAACAATAAACGGTCCGTCCAATCGAGCGTGGAAGATAACGAGCGAGAGAAACGGCCGGGAGAAGAAAACCGTTGGAAAGAGTTGTTTGTTAGATTCCCGACGATCCCGTTGAATTGCGAGACTCGCGAACTTTCCCCGGCGCGTTTGCTTCCGCGCCGAAAGATTCCCTAATAGATCTTAATAATGCACGTACCCCGGGACCCCGCCGATCCCCCGCGACGCTTCGACAAAGGAATATTAAGTTTTCAACAACTACGGGAACTTTCGTATTTCCGTTTATGAGTACTTAATTTAATTGTATTTACCGGCGAGTCGAAACTAACATGTAACCGGCATTATCGTCGCTCTCGCCGGCGTTTCGAATTTTATCTTCACCGTTTCATCGGTTGTTTAATGCACTCCACTCCATTAGCGTTTCTCGAGCGAACGCTTTCAATACCTTCCCCTCTTTGTCGTTAGTATCTTTATTATTTTAGTATTTCAATTGAGCTACTTACGGCGGTCTATATTCGCGCGAAAGTTTCTGGAAGTTGTATTATTAGATTGGACAAATATTTGTGGTTCTTCTAAGTGGTATTTGTGAGATACGCAAATGAATATTCTAAATAAATGGGTGTATTGAAAGGTGGAAGAGAAGTATCGAGAAAATGAACAACGTTCAGTTCTAGAACAAAACTCGATTTTAATCTGAATTTTTAAATGTATCGCACCTTCGAAGAATCTTTTAAAAGAAATGCGACGTATTCATTGAAATAGATCGATCCAGTGTAACAGAATTCCCGGAAATCTCGATGAAATCGCAAATCGGAGAGATACAAGTTGCCAGCTGCGTTTATGGCATATAAATATCATTGCACGATATGTTCCGCGTATATCACGCAAGGTTTACGATTGATCTCCGACGTATCGCGCTGGAATCCCGCGGCCGTTAAATTACAAGGCAGTAAAGTCGACGACGGTTATAATAAAACCGGCATTAACGTGTTGCATTGACATTTATTAAAGCCGGTGCCCGATTCGTCAGCAAATTTTCAAGCGGCAGCCGCGCCGGAACGCGGCGAGGGGAAAGTATACGTTAAGGGTGGAGGTCTA